GGTGTGGGTGGGGGGGGGGGGGGGGGGGGTGTATGCGCGCGCGCGTGAGCTTTGACCCCCTGAGCGTGGCTTCCACCTCACCCTGAAAGGAGACGAAAACATCAGCAGTCACCCGCAAGTCATCATTCACTGAACTCCCTCTGTGTGTGCGTGTGTGTGTGTGTGTGTGTGTGTTTATGAATGTATTCATGATATTTTTATTTATGCTTTGTACGTTTTTTTGTTTGTTCATAATTTGAAGGGATGTCATTTTAATTCATACCCGTTTGTGTATTTGGATGCGTTTATTGCTGGATTTATTTTGGAGTTTATTGAAGTCAATAAGACAATGTGTACTCATTCACATGTTTCAATCGGTTTAAAGTGTCGATTGAAGTATGTGTGCCTGAGTTTGTCGTCGGTCGGAGTGGCAAAAAGTGTTGTTTTTTTTTTTTCCCACTTTTCCTCTTTTGTGTCCGAAATTGGTCGAAGTTTCAACCAGCGAATACATTTGCATCATTTACGATGGATTAGCTGTAATTTATGCAAAAACTGCTTTCCACTTGTTAGCATCAGTGTTCACAAAGGGGGTGCGTGGTAAAGGTGGGGGGCGGGGGGGGCAGATAAACTTTGCGGCCCCCTCCCCAATAAAGAGAGAAGAACCCATTTGAGAAGACGCGGACGTCATCAAGCTTTTATTTCTGAAAAAGGCGACTGGGCCGCCGACGTTCTTTTATCCTCAAGCGCCGCCCGCCGCATCACGCTTGAGCAGCGCTGCGGTTACCACGGTGACGCCGGGAAGCGATTGCCACGGCGATGCCTCGACACCCTGTTGACACGAGCTTCTATACGTACTCACCGAGTACTACTCAGTGACGAGGAACAAGATTTCCGATGAGTGCCAAGAGGTGAGCTCTTTCCTAATGTTAGCCTCATCGCTAACACGCGCGGGAACTTTTAAGTTCTTACTTTGGTGTTGCACATTTTCATTGACTTATCATCATCACCTTTGTTGCAAAGGTAATTGCTAATGTGCTAATATCCATCCATCCATCCATGAACTGATCCGCTTTTTCACCAGCAAAATCCAGCCATTCAACCCATTTTAGGGAGCGGGCATTTTGCGTTCTGTTGTGTGCGCGTGTGCTTTGACGCTATGATCAAAGTTTGCTTCTTTGATGCGAAGATATCGCGGGAAATGCATTTGACAGGCCAACGCAAATTTGCTGGGATGTTACACTAATTCTGGACCTGACAACAACAGCTATTCGAACAGCTCTTTTTTTTTTTCCCTGTGTTTCTGTCTCTCTCTCCTCGGAGAAGGACGCAAGCAAGCTCCTTGGTCTCTTCTCTCTTTCTGTCAATGAGCGGGCGAGTCGCGGTGGGACGCGCCCGTATGCACCCCCCACCCCCCACTCCCCCTCCCAGCCTGCGCGCACACCGCCCGCGGCCGCGTCACTCTCAACCTGACACCAACTTCTTTTTTTTTTTCGCTTCCATCATCATTTCATCCAATTTCGTACACGGATGTCATCGTAAATCCTGCTCAATAAAAGCTTTCCCTGTTGGTTTGAATGGGTATGTTTGAAATACGTGAAAGTTGAGGGGTTCGTTGTTTTTTAGTGGATAGCTCTACTCTACGACGAACGGCAAAAGGAGAGATGGAATCCTTTCAATGCAGTTTTGTTAAAAGGGGGAAAATAAGACGTCTGTACCTCAGCAGGTTCGAGAACACGACTCTCCTCGGAAATAAAATCACTTCCTGCTTCTCTTACTTCAACAGCCAATCAGAAGCTATCAAGATAAAAACAAGTCGAAGCAATTATTAAACAACAGAATATAATTTAGGTGTTCTTAACATGAGATAATATAATGCTCAAACATAAAATGATATTAATTAATAATATAACATAACCTTACATACGGAAACGGGGCTGCTCATCATGAACGTCACTAAAAACAAATTGCAAACGAAAAGAATATTTGAAAAAAAAATGTATATTCGTTTTGTGTTGTCAGAAGTTGTCGCTGGCTTTTCAAGTGTGTGTGTGTGTGTGTGTGTGTGTGTGTTGTTGTGGAGCGTATAATAATCCCGGCAACATCAATACATGGATTGAGGTAACGAGGTCACACCGCCCGCGGCCGCGTCACTCTCAACCTGACACCAACTTCTTTTTTTTTTTCGCTTCCATCATCATTTCATCCAATTTCGTACACGGATGTCATCGTAAATCCTGCTCAATAAAAGCTTTCCCTGTTGGTTTGAATGGGTATGTTTGAAATACGTGAAAGTTGAGGGGTTCGTTGTTTTTTAGTGGATAGCTCTACTCTACGACGAACGGCAAAAGGAGAGATGGAATCCTTTCAATGCAGTTTTGTTAAAAGGGGGAAAATAAGACGTCTGTACCTCAGCAGGTTCGAGAACACGACTCTCCTCGGAAATAAAATCACTTCCTGCTTCTCTTACTTCAACAGCCAATCAGAAGCTATCAAGATAAAAACAAGTCGAAGCAATTATTAAACAACAGAATATAATTTAGGTGTTCTTAACATGAGATAATATAATGCTCAAACATAAAATGATATTAATTAATAATATAACATAACCTTACATACGGAAACGGGGCTGCTCATCATGAACGTCACTAAAAACAAATTGCAAACGAAAAGAATATTTGAAAAAAAAATGTATATTCGTTTTGTGTTGTCAGAAGTTGTCGCTGGCTTTTCAAGTTTGTGTGGGTGTGGGTGGGGGGGGGGGGGGGGGGGGTGTATGCGCGCGCGCGTGAGCTTTGACCCCCTGAGCGTGGCTTCCACCTCACCCTGAAAGGAGACGAAAACATCAGCAGTCACCCGCAAGTCATCATTCACTGAACTCCCTCTGTGTGTGCGTGTGTGTGTGTGTGTGTGTGTGTTTATGAATGTATTCATGATATTTTTATTTATGCTTTGTACGTTTTTTTGTTTGTTCATAATTTGAAGGGATGTCATTTTAATTCATACCCGTTTGTGTATTTGGATGCGTTTATTGCTGGATTTATTTTGGAGTTTATTGAAGTCAATAAGACAATGTGTACTCATTCACATGTTTCAATCGGTTTAAAGTGTCGATTGAAGTATGTGTGCCTGAGTTTGTCGTCGGTCGGAGTGGCAAAAAGTGTTGTTTTTTTTTTTTCCCACTTTTCCTCTTTTGTGTCCGAAATTGGTCGAAGTTTCAACCAGCGAATACATTTGCATCATTTACGATGGATTAGCTGTAATTTATGCAAAAACTGCTTTCCACTTGTTAGCATCAGTGTTCACAAAGGGGGTGCGTGGTAAAGGTGGGGGGCGGGGGGGGGCAGATAAACTTTGCGGCCCCCTCCCCAATAAAGAGAGAAGAACCCATTTGAGAAGACGCGGACGTCATCAAGCTTTTATTTCTGAAAAAGGCGACTGGGCCGCCGACGTTCTTTTATCCTCAAGCGCCGCCCGCCGCATCACGCTTGAGCAGCGCTGCGGTTACCACGGTGACGCCGGGAAGCGATTGCCACGGCGATGCCTCGACACCCTGTTGACACGAGCTTCTATACGTACTCACCGAGTACTACTCAGTGACGAGGAACAAGATTTCCGATGAGTGCCAAGAGGTGAGCTCTTTCCTAATGTTAGCCTCATCGCTAACACGCGCGGGAACTTTTAAGTTCTTACTTTGGTGTTGCACATTTTCATTGACTTATCATCATCACCTTTGTTGCAAAGGTAATTGCTAATGTGCTAATATCCATCCATCCATCCATGAACTGATCCGCTTTTTCACCAGCAAAATCCAGCCATTCAACCCATTTTAGGGAGCG